AAGTGATGGTTTCTTTCCTTTTCTCTGAGTATGGTCATTTCTGGATGTGTTGCCTAGAAGTGCTACCGCAGCCTTTTAGTTGTTAGCCTGGGGATTAAGCCAGTTGAACCTGGGAAGACAAAGCAGTGATGTGGAAAGAATCTGGATCATTGAAGATAATGTTAAGCTACTGAATTACCAACTCTGAAGTTCTCTCTCTCTGGACTTCCTGTTACATAGGATAAATTTCTGTTGATTTGTTTCTGTTACTTGCATCTAAAAGCACCACAGCTAATAGATTAATAATGTATTTAGTTTTCTAGACTAGCATATGGATTTTTTATGTTGTTTCTGGGACTACAGTATGTAAAAATTTTTTAAAATTCTAAATCATTATCCATGAATTACAATAGAAATTAGATAACAGAACTCTAGAGTTTCTGGGATGATAGCTGAACTCTTTAATCAGCATTCTTTGAAATGGCATGAGCAATTTCAGAATAGGGAACAGTTGATTAAACATAGATTTTACTTCATAGGTAACTTAGGGTCAAATTTCAAAATTATGATCTGTCAAGTGGAAGGATAAAAACTGAAAATCTGCTTCTTTGCTGGTGCCTAACAAAGTCTATAGTGCTGCTGGTAATGGAACAGGGAAAGGGGATGATGGTTAAGCACTTCCTTGTACCTAATCTCAGAATTCCTGAAACTTCCAAATTGCAATCAAAGTACATAGGTGTCCTTCTATAGGTTTTACCAGGTAATTACATAGTTATTTGTGTAATTACTTGTCTATCTACCTGACTATACTGCAAGCTGTTTGAGGGCAAGAACAGTATTTATCTTGTTGTTTACTGCTTCAAAGCCCCGAGCAACACCTGGCATGGAGTAGGTGGCTCAAGAAAATAATTTTATATGAACAAAAAAACGTGAAGAATCTTGAAATCACCTGCCCCTTGGAGGTGCAAAAACACTGCAGAGCTGTGGCAGATGAGTTATGGCTGAAATGCTGAAAGTACTCTTTGGAAAATTTAACAAATTTTATTGAGCTCCTCATACTGTATTAAATACGGAAAGTAGTTTAGGAATTGTTGGATTAGTTAATTTTTTATTAATTGATAGGAGACCAATAAATAGCTATACATGGTTAATCAGTAAAAAAATGGGAAGAGTAGGACACTCTAAATATATGTGATTATTTTCTGGACACTAGATATAACATGGGATCCCTGGTGGTACAGTAGTTAAGAATTCAGCTGTTAACCAAAAGGTTGGCAGTTCGAATCCACCAGCCACTCCTTAGAAACCCTACAGGGTAGTTCTACTCTGTCCTATAGGGTCCATATGAGTCAGAATCAACTCGACAACAACGGGTTTGGTTTTTTGGTAGGATGTAACATGACAGAAAGCTTAGAGCAGAGAGAAAATAATCCAATACAGGTAATGGACAGAAAAATGGTGTTTAATAATTCTACATTGTTAGGTGCCATCGAGTAGATTTCTACTCATAGTGACCCTGTGTGACAGAGTAGAACTGCCTCATAGGATTTTCTAGGCTGCAACCTTTACAGAAGCAGATCACCAGGTCTTTCTCCCATAGAGCAATTAGATGGGTTTGAACTGCCAGCCTTCTTTCTGGTTAGCAGCCAAGTGCTAAGCCATTGCACCACCAGGGATCCTTTAATAATTCCATAAAGGATACTTATTTTTTTACACGCTGTCCCCTTCCCCTGTAAAATTATCAGGACTCAATTTCCCTTTCAGGCGTAGTAATTACTGTTGCTGTATTTTATTATCTGTTACGCCTATAACAGATGTGGACGATTCTGACCAGAAGATATAGTCAAACCCTGCAAACCCATGATGAACACATCATGGCTCCTATTTTCCTCCTTTCCTTCTGACCCCCTGTCTTTCTGGACAGTTTTCCTGTCTCCAATCCCTTAGCTTTCTATCCAGGATCAGTAAATCTCTAGATTTCCAACTAGGGTACTATTTACTAGGGGATAAATTACTAGCCACACACCACTTCCTAGATCCTTTGTGACCTTTGGTCAACCCACTTGATCTCCAGTCATTGGCTGAAACCTAGGAAGGGAAGAAAAATTCAGAGAGGTTAGTGATAGTAAAGAGTGAAAACACAGACTCTGCCTATCTTTCTTTTTTTTTTCCCCTCACCTCATTGATCTTTCCTCAGTGGCAACCTTATGTTGAGTTGATCCAATGGTCTATTTTCATTTCCCCTCTGACAGAAATCTTTCAATTTCCATTCTAAATCTTTTCCTATGAATCTTTTCTCTATGCTTCACTTAATCACCGAGCCCAAAAGGTACTAAACAGATTTCACTTTGTGCAAAAGGCCCAAGGGCAAGTTTTCCTATATTCAAAGGCATTTTATTAGTCTTGGCATTAGTGTTAATTCTTAATATCCTGTGTGTCTTACTGAGTCTTACTTTACCATGCAGAATAGTAATAGTACATACTCACTAGGGTCTTGTCTGAAAATTACCTGCCTCATTAGTAGGAGTAGGTGACTCCTACTCACCTGGCCATGACTGATTGAACTCTTGGTAGAACTTTACCTAAACTTGGTAGATTCTCTTTCTGGTGACCCCCAGACCAAACCCATGGCCGTCGAGTTGATTACAACTTACAGTGACACTATAGGACAAAGTAGAACTGCCCCATAGAGTTTCCAAAGCTGTAAATCTTTACAGAAGCAGACTGCCACATCCTTCTCCCATGGAACATCTGGTAGGTTTGAATTGTGATTTTTCGGTTAGCAGCCAATTGCTTAACCAATGCACCACCAGGGCTCCTTGTATTGACCCCCAGTGAATATGAATTGACTGTGAGTGGGGAATGGAGCCCTGTTATTGAGCAACTGTTAGGAGCAGCAATTGGCTACTCCTGAAGCTTTGCCTGACTCACTAGATCTGTGTGACCTGCTTTGTCAAGGCACTTTAAAGGTGGTCGCAAGTGCAGGTAAGAAAAATATAGTTGCAAATATAGAAACTGGTAATTGACTCAAGGACATGACAGTGTGAACTGAAGGAAATGGGTAGATCTGAGATATACTGAGATTGAAGAAGTAGCTAGATTTGGCCAAAAGGCAGTGATAAGTTGATGATTCTACTAATCTACAACTGGGCAATGTTTTCAGTTACTATTGGAGTGGTTGGTTGGTAAGCAGAAACGGCTCTTTGGGATTCTTGAGTTTTTAAAGTCATAGTTCCTCTCTATTTCTATAACCAGCAGTATGAACCCAACCATAGAACTTTACTATACTAAAACAGCAGTAAACTATTTAGAAATTACTTTGTTAGGGCTATTCATAAGAGTTATATCGATGCTGGGCACAAAATGTGGGCTAGTTAGCTTTCCTCTGTTTTGTAGCTGGAGTCCTGGTGGCACAGTGCTTAAGCGTTCGGCTGCTAACCAAAAGGTTGGCAATTTGAATTCACCAGCTGCTCCTTGGAAACCCTATGGGGCAGTTCTACCCTGTCCTATAGGGCCACTATGAATTGTAATAGACTCAACAGCAATAGTTTGGTTTTGTAGATAAGAGTACACCCAGACACCTGTTTTATAAAAACATAGTTTTGGTGACAAGGATGCTAGATTGAGAGAATACTAATAATAGATATTTGTGAATGATATTAAGAAAAAAATAGTACAAAATCAAAACCAAATTAAGTTGTCTGTGTTCTTGAGAATTTCCAAAATGGCAGAAAAAGCTCTTTAACTTACCTCAGTATATCATCTCATAGGACTAAGGAAAAACCTTAATGCAATTTTATTATGAATAGCGGCTCAATTGCTGCTTATAAGGAATCCCTATCAGAATTCTGACTGAAGAAAAAAAGGAACAGCAGATTTTTCAGTTAAATTGGGGTTTGAAATTTAGCTTCTACCATTTACCAGTTGTGAGACTTCATCCAAATTACTTAATCTTTCTGAAATTGTTTCCTTATTTCTAAAATGGGAATAGCAACCAACTCATATCCTTTCCTTAATGAGCAACTAGTCTCTTTGGAAGAAGTTTCTAATGTTACATTTTTTTGGGGACAAGTATTACATTCATTGAAACATCTACTCCAGTGCCAACTGTGGGCCAGGACCAGAACAACATAATTTTTTCTACATTGGAGCTCATGGTGTAGTCAGCAGGTGTGGATGAGATGGGATGAAACCCTAATATTAACAATAGCTACTATTTATGAGCCTGTGCTATATGTTGCTACAAGCTTTAAGCACATTATCGCATTTTATCCTCACAATAGGTCTCAATAGCCTCATTTTATCGAAGTGGAAATTGCAGACCAGAGACCTGATTTTGTACCGGGTCACACACCTAGTGAGTGCTGAGTCCAAACTGTAACCTGTGTTTCCCACATTCCGAAGACCCCAGCTCTTAATCACCCAGAGGAAAAGGGGGAAAACTCTGTTAAACGCACTCTGGGACCCAGTGCCTGTGTGAGACGCCTGAATGGAAAGGTGACGAAAGGACCCTTAGATCATAAGCTTTCCTTTACTTAACCCTTTTTCCTTTAAGAAAGGTTATTTAACAGATTCTTAATAGTTTGGATTGACTGAAAAAATAGTTATAGGGAACGGAAGGCGCGCTGGGCCCAGGCTGGTGGTCATGGCTGAAGGGGCTGACAGGTCCAGCGGGTGCGCCTGTGGGACTGCAGGCCGGCGGATGCGCGTGTGCCAGGGACACGAGGCGCGCAGCGAGACAGAAGCGGAGATCGGAAGCCAAGAAGTACCACGTGCCTAAAGAGGTAACAGACGCACAATCCAGGGAAGGCTACAGCCGCTCCCGACAGGCAACAGCTTCGGGACCCCGAACTCCTCCCACTCAGCTCCCGCCTCCCACGGCCAGTCGGGCCAATGGGCGGGGCGGAAGGGCGCGCGAGCTGGGGCTGGGCGCGCGGGGCGGGGGCACGCGGCCTGCGCGCAGGTGCCGCCCGCCTCCCGGACTGCCCGTTCCGCCGCCGCGGCCGTCGTGCGTGCAGCTCGGCGGAGGGGCGGGCTTGCGCTCTCTCTTCTCCTTCCTCCCGGCCTCCCACTGCCGGCAGTCCTGATCTTTCGCTGTCGCTGGGACCCCGAGTCATCGCCCGTCCCGAGCACGGTGAGGTCCTCTGGGAGCCCGCAGGCGCGCTCTCTGCCCCGTCTTCGGCGCCCGGGCGCGTTGCCTGGAGGCCGCCGGCAGGCCTGGGACGAGTGACCGGGATAGGGCGAGGGAAGCGGGCGGCACGGGGTATGTGGATGAATGAGGCGCTCTCGGACTAGGCCGCGCGTGTCGGGAGCGGCCCACGCCTCACCCCCGCACGCCCAGGGGAAAAGCCTTTTCCGGAGGCCGGGACGACCAGTGGCCCTGTCTATGGGGGGAAGGTGTTGGGTGGGGGCCGCTTTGGCTGGGCTGCCGTCCATCCCTTGGTAGGAAGCCAAACGACTGCAGAGGCTCTACTTATGCATGTGTGCTTTGAAGGCCTGGGGTTTGACCAGGAACAGGTGGGGAGAAAGGAGCCCGGAGAAGAGCGTAGCGGGATCCTCGGGTCAGGGATCAGAAGCTGAAATATCACTTAATGAGCTGGGACCTAGCGTGGCCCCAGGAGGTACAACTCGAGCCAGAAGACAGGGACAGTTTTAGTTCTCTTCTAAGACGTGAGATTAGCAGTCCTCGTGCGTTCAGTTTACAGTAGTAAAACAAGATTAATTCTTTATGGAGGAACTTGGAGCCAGAAATAGCAAGGGACTAAGAAAGTTGTGACTTTTAACTGAAAAGGGTTAATGGTTTCATTTATGACTATACATCACCAGAGCTTAGATTCCAGAGGTGGCTTATGCGGACTCCTATGTGGTACCTACAGTGGCAAAGGTGGAAGAGAGTTTGTTGGAAGCACCTGATCACCTGGTGTGCTTTCATCCTTGTGAAAATTGGGGATTGTGAGGGGAATGAGAGATAATAGTTTCCGGGTAATAATGGTTTAGTGGGAGGTGACTTGGTGGCTGATGGGTCTAGAATGGGTTTTTCTTTGACATATCTGTGCCCCTGTTTCCCAGTGCTTTCACTCATATAACCGTATGTCATACTTTTATTACTCTAGAGCCACTGCAAATAAAATGTTTTGTAAATAGTCTCGGTGGAGGATTGGTGGTTAAATTTTAAGTTTATCTTTGATTCCTTTATTTATTTTTAGATCAATCTTTCCAGGACTTCCCTGGAGTGACTATTTTGACAACCATTAGAATGAAATCTGTTTACAGAACTTTTTTGTTAAAAAATAAAATTGATTTAGTGCTATGTCAGTGTTTGATTGATATATATACAGTATATTTTATTCTTAATCTATTTTTCAGTGTTATTAGTGCCCCCCCCCAAAGATTTTATGTAATAAGACGTGTTTTTGGTCAATGGAGATATTGAAAAGTTTTGTTCATATATTTGTTTTGACATTTTAGATGCCCCCCAAAAAGGGAGGTGATGGAATTAAAGCACCCCCAATCATTGGAAGATTTGGAACCTCCCTGAAAATTGGTATTGTTGGATTACCAAATGTTGGGTAGGTGAACATTGGACTTTTTTCATTTTCATGCCTGGGTGGTGCAAATGGTTTATGCTTGGCTACTAACCAAAAGGTTGGCAGTGCAAATCTACCCAGCAGCTCCATAGAAGAAGGGCCTGGTGATCTATTTCCGTAAGATTACAGCCATTGAAGACTCTATGGTATGCAATTCTATTCTGACACACAAGAGGGGTTACCGTGAGTAAGAATCAACTTGATGGCAATGGGTTTGGTTTGTTTGGTTTTCTAGAAATGGGAACTCATGAGGTAATTAAGATTTAAATTGAGGGAAAAAAGCTAGGAAGCTGGAATATTACTATGTTACAAAACTAGGTTTAGTGTAGATGTATTTTTATTTTTGGTTTTCTACACAGATATTGAGGAACCCTGGTAGCGCAGTGGTTAAAGTGATTGGCTGCTGACCGAAAGGTCGATAGTTCGAACCCTCCGGTCGCTCTGTGGGAGAAAGATGTGGCAGTCTGCTTCTGTAAAGATTACAGGCTTGGAAACCCTATGGGGCAGTTCTACTCTGTCCTATAGGGTCGCTGTGAGTTGGCATTGACTCAATGGCAGTGGGTTTGGTTTGGGTTTGGCTACATAGATATAGTGTTGAAACAAGTTAGTTATGTTTGTTTTGCTAAACTCAGGAAGAAGCAATGAGAGTTAAAATATTAAGTTGAACAGGACCAGCTATATTTACTTGGAACACTGTTGGGAGACACACAGTATTTAATTGAACTGGAAATGATTTTAAGGAACCCTGGTGGTTGGTGCAGCAGTTAAGTGCTTGGCTGCTAACCAAAAGGTTAATAGTTCGAACCTACCTAGTGGCTCTGCGGAAGAAAGACCTGGCAATCTGCTCCGGTAAAGATTATAGCCATGAAAACGCTATGGGGCAGTTCTACTCGGTCACATGGGTTACTGTGAGTCAGAATCGACTTGACGGCACTTACAACAACAACAACAAAATTGACTTCAGTACCAGTTGGCTATCTGTGGTTACTACCTAGGCTAGTGACCTGAGGCCATGCAGTAGGATATTTTAGGAAATAGTTTTAAAAGCCCTGTTATAAATTTGATTCTGTTCTTGAGAGATCAGAGGTCAGATGACTGAATTTCTACTGAAGAAGGCAGTGACAGTTTTGAATTTAATATTGGAACTTTGTAGGTAAAAGGCTATCTGTTGCAAAGTGGCAAAATCCGAAAGTTTTGAAAATGAAAAAATTTATTTTTTAATATTTTTAAAATTAAAATGAATCATTTATTTGAAAATAAAACACTGATAGGAAATTTATGTGGAGTTGATCATATAAATCTGTACACCTGTAACTTAAATATTCAAAGTCAGCTTTTTTTTTTGTTACTATTTGCTCTTATTATAATGCTTATTTTTTACTGTAATTTACACCTCTTCATTTATCGACTATCTTGTTATCCAACATTTTGCATTTATGAGAATAGTAAAAAATCTACTGTCCGACTATTTGTGCATTAACAGTGTACTTCTGGCAGTAACGAATGCTGAGGTGCGAGGCAAGAGTAACACTGGCTGTGACAGTTAAGGTTATGTGTCAACTTGGCTGGACCATGATTCTCAGTGGTTTGGCAGTTATGTAATGATGTAATTTGGCAGCTAGGTAATGATGCAGTCATTCTCCATTTTGTGATCTGATATGGTCATCCTCTGTTTTGTACTGTATTTCATTTATATTTTTGTACACAATAAACCAACATTTAATACAGTGAGTTTCCACTGAATCTTGAAATGTACAATATTAAGCCTAAATCGAGAGTCAGTCAGGAATCTTAAGATTAAGATAATTTCATTCGTTTCGGATAATCTCTTGTGCATTAAGTATGGTAGGCCACAGTAAACTCTCAAACAGTGTTGGTTAACCTAGGCTACCCTGATTTTCACATAATGCTGATTTTTGCATAACGACCTAGTCTTTGGAACCTAACCCTGTCAATAAGTGAAGAGTGGGTGTATTAGTAAACTATCATTTACTAAAATATAAAATGTCTCAAAAGTGGTTAGGGTTTATTAATGGGTACCAGATCCAATATGGATTTACTAAGATGACTGAACAAATTTTGGGATGTGGCTTTAGGCTTTTAGATCCGTGGCAAGTAGGACGACCATGTTTGTCCATGTGTTTTTTGGAGCCCTTTTTGTAGAAGGTCCTCAGTGAATGAAGCATGATATGACTAAGTAAGGCAGTTCTTAAGTTCTTGTAATATAAAACATGGACAAGTGTGGCTGTCCTCATTTCAATCTGTATGCTCTGTCCATCTGCATTGTACATGCAGACAGACTGTATGTACCTCAAACTCCCAGGCAGCCATAAGACTGCTAGGAATGAGACACATACACCCACTGGCGTCAACCATTTTATGGGTGCTTTGTTTATTTGTGATTGAACCAGACACGCAAGACACTTACTTAGTGTTGGCAAAGTGAAAGCCATTATTATTATTTATAGACAGCAAGCAGTAAACAATAACGGATTCCCAAAGGGGAAATATTTACCCTTCCCCACACTATCCACGTTCATTCTTATGTTGCTGGGTATGCACCCCATGGTTGAGGTCAGATGCTATATTCATGTCACTGCTGCCTCCAGCTACCACCACATTGCTTGGGGGGGCCTACACAGCTCTCGAGACTTCTGCCTCTGCCACTGAGTCTCCCTGGCCTCTGCTGCTGGCTCCTTTCACACTATCCAGGCCTGCGAGGCTCTTGCCATCATGCTACTCGGGCCCTTGCTGCCCAGGGCAGAGATGTATGCAGCTCCTGCATAGGGCATACTCAGGCCTTTCCCCTGCACAAGCAAGTTTTACAGCTCTTTTAGCTCCACTGGCAAGCCTCCTGCTTGAAGGTGCTCACCTCTCGCTCCGTGGGCTGGTAAGTTTACTGCTGTTGTCTCTCGCTGTCTTCAGTGTTACAGCTCTCTTCTGGGTCTAAGGTTCTCAGCCGCAGGGACCTCGGTCCAAAGGATTTGCTCTGCTCCAGACTCTTCTTGATGGTAGTGAGGCCCTCATGAAGCCTCTATGGGATTGGCCCTTTTATAAGCCTACTCCTTGTCAATTTTAAGGCATGGTCCTCCCAGCAGGATGACAAACTGACCAATCCCCTCTGTAGACCATAAATCACTCAATTTGCATACTAAACTGACCAATTTCTTGCAAGGTTGTGGCCCAGCCAATCATTTTGGGAGTTAGAAGACCATGGCTAGAAAGGCCATGTAAAAGCAATTCACTGTACTGCACAGTCTTTCCTGGAGCTGGAGAGGTTTGCATTTTGAAGGAGTTTCCTGCTGTGATATAGGCTGCTTGCATAGTAAGACTAAGTAGAGAGTAGAAATATAAGCAAAACAAATAATTAAGCAAAGTACTGTAAGGTGCTGTCAGTACACTTGAAAGCAAGATACAATCATTATGTATGTTGTGAGCTTTATTGCACTTTTAAGCATGACATAGTTTTTAGATATTAACATATTTCTTTTCTAGAACCACTGCAATCAGTGCAACTTGACTTTAAATGGGCTGCTTTAAAATGACCATCTTAAGAAGCATTTTCCTATTTAAGCTTTTTAGCAATAGAGCATAATAAAGTCAATGTATATGAAAATAACCTGAAAATATTTGATATCCCGTATAAGTATGCTGTTTTTGCTTTTAAATTAAATATCCGCTCCTCCCGTTTTTACTGAGGTGTAATTTAGAAACAATAAAATTCACTTCTTTTAGGGGTACATTTTGATGAGTTTTGACAATTGTATTTGATTGTAAATACTCCTTTTTGTAGAATGATGTTACTTTACTCAGCTGTATCAGGTAGGGTTCTTTGTGAGCAATACAAATTCTGGCTATTTTAAACATGGAAAAGGGGTTTATTAGAAGAATAGAACTGAAGGAGGAGCTGAACAACCAAGTCTTAGGAAGGACTGGAGCCAAGGTGGTGCTGGCAGAGATGAGTCCATGTGGAGCTCAGCCACATGCATGCCTGAACTTCTGGATGTTTCTCATCTCCCGCTGCCTCTTCTGTGTTTCAAATCCTTGGGTGAGAGAACCTGATGGATGTGTCTGCCTCTGAATAGGCCCACGAGAAATAGGTAGTTCCCTAAACGATAGCCTGCTGATCAAAAGTAAGGACATTCAGTAAAAACCCATCGAAATCTTTTGATTTTGAGAGAGCTGGGTGAATAAGGTTTGCTTTTTAGTATTTATAAGGCTGATTTTCTGGAAACTTAGAATATTTATAGCTAAAAAAGCTGATACTTGTTGAACACTTATTATATGCCAGTTACTATTCTTAGCACTTTATCTGTATTATCCAATCAACTGTTTAACATTCCCCGCAATAGAATTTAAATTCCATTTGAGTAAGGATTTTGTTGTTCTTGTTTGTTGTTGGTTTTACCACCTTGACTAGTGTTGGGAAAATATTAGACATTCAATAATTATTTATGGAGGAATGAAGGGGATATTGTCAGTATGAGGCTTGGAGGTTGTTGGAGAAAGTACTTTTTAATGTTCCAGACTTTACTTCTGTTATTGGATAGCTCTTACTGTGGTAGTTGGTATTAGGTGGAAGAGTGTTAGAAAACGCCAAATAATGGTGGTTTAAACCGAGGTTTCTTTTTCACGTAAAAGTGAATTTTGCTTTACGAAGTCCTCAGGAACTCAAGCTCCTTCCAGATCACAGCTCTACCGATCCCTTAGGTTGTGGTTCTCATCCTCAGGTCCAAGGTGTTATGTGAATTCCAGGCAGTTGGTTATTTGAAAAGTCAAAGAGCCAAAAGACTTGATCAGCAGTCTTTAACGGATTTTGCCACAGCGTACTATGGCTTACATCCCTTTGTCTAGAATTTACTCATAAGAATTTAGATGTAAGGAGGTTAAGAAATGTATTCTTTATTTTGATGGACTTATGTTCAGTTAAATCTATTACCGTGGAAGAAGGCAAGAATGGATATCAGGGGACAACTCAGTAT